TCATATCTGTTGGTTAGCGTTTTGATGTTTGTGCGATTTGAAATCCACCGAAAATTAATTTTACGAGAGGACTCGGGCTGTCCGTGAAATTGACGTCTCTTGCAGGAAAACCTGCCAGATTCAGATAGATAGGCTTCAAAACTTATTCAAGCCCTTGGATTGAGAAATGACTTCAGGGCGAACTACAATTGCGCAGCAGGTTTTGATTCTCCGATCAAAAGAGAGTTAGTTCTTGAAGAGGAATAGAATAAGACCGACAAATCAGTGAGTGCAGTGAGAACGACCGTTCCCATTGCTTGCATTCCACCTTGTTAACACATTGACGACAGCGCGCGTTTTGGCTTTTTTGGCCGTGTGGGACCGGGCCGATTTTGCGAGTGCGACCGCCGCACCTCGGATCCGTGAATTTTTATTGATAACTTTTTAAAGCACCAGTGGTACAAAAACATCTCAGTAACAGTCAATGCGTAGAAGGTAATAGAGTATATAGTGACGAAGTTCCGATTAAAGAACATGTAATGGTAATGAAAAAGGAAATTTTAGTCATTTTATCTGTAGTGGATGCCAAAAGCTCTTTCCGATGTGATTGTGTTTCACTACCCCTTTTTATTGACATGTTCATGAGAATAGGATGAAAACGAGGAATGAACCGAGCTGCCAATTTCGCTGAGCTTGAAAACTTCTGCTAAACTGGAGCATATTTGACATACCGTGACCCATGTCGTTTACAGTTAATGTTATGTTGTAATCCATAGAAGAGAGACAAACAAATTGGGAAAAAGCCCGCATACGCTAGAAAAAGGGATGACAAGGGTGAGACGCGCAACCGCGTCTCAATGTCGTCAATGTGTTAAAATTAGGCGGTGCTGCTGCCTCGAACGATGGTATTTTTGGGCTTTCATGAACCAGCTACTATTATTATGTGTCAGTTATGGTCTGTATAAAAAAAAACAGAAAATATGGCATTCAACCCACTCTAGATGCGCGATGCATTAGGCATCCAATCAAAATCGTATGGACCCTGAGAGTGTATTCCATCTGCCTGTCATGCTCTCTATTAAGCTCGGAAGGCTGGTCTCGGGGCTCGCACACCACTTTATGGAGTGACTGTATTTCCACACTGTCTTTTAGCCACATTGGCGGACCTGCGAAGTGTCCTGTGCAAGCAATTCTGATTCGAAAAGGATCCATTATTTGGAAGGGTGTTCGACAGATTGGTTGTGAAACATACTCTTCATAAGAGCTGAGGCCTTTATATGTTATATCTTTTCTACCTGACCGATCAGCTTAGGAAAATTGTCTCTCGAAAGCTCGGAAAGCGAGTTAGCACTTAAAAAAATAAAAAGGAAATATTATTTGACAAAATGTTCATGAGCTCGTTCACATGGAAAAATGAAATCGCAATTTGATCTGCTCATGCGAAAAATTGGGAAAAAATGAAGCGTTGACACTTTAGACCTGATTGGCTCAATCCGAACATATTGAAGACAGCTCTTATTCTCATTCAAAAAGATACGAGGGAAATAGCATTGTGAATAGGGAAGAGCGCTTGCACTTGCTTCCTGCCAATTTCGCCTTCGACAGCAATTGCAGAACGATAAGGCTCTATTGATCTTCGATCGGCGAATTGCGGCAAACGTTGCATTAAAGTGACATGAAGAGTTTAGAAAACGCGGGCAGTATTTTTGTATTTTTCGGGCACTCATGATTTTGGGGAAAATGGAATTTGTTTTCTCTGGGTGTGCTGGGCTTGATCCTTTCTCTTCATCTAAACTTTTAATTTGTCCATAAGTCGTTATTCAGTACTAGCGTTGCCATTAGTGGCTGAACCTGTGATTGTGGTGCGCTCACGAAACAGCTTTCGAACCGAATATACCAATCAGCTTTCCAAATCCTGTGAAATCGAGTGCACTCCGCAATAAATTGAATAAGATTGCATTGCTTCTCATAATTTCACCAAAAGAATAGAAAAGCTCAGGAAATTGTAAAGTTCTGAAATATTATAAAACGACACAGAATTCTAAATTTGACTCAATGTGAGGTTAATGTATTGGCTTAATTTTACGTGAAATGAAACCTCTCGCACAAAGAAATGCGTTGATGTCAGTTGCCTACTATCTACCACATATTCGAGCGCACCTTATGTGCGAACAAATGAGTAAATAAATATACATTATTTTCAAACGACCGCAATCACTGTAGCCATAAGTCTATCGTAGAGAAGCTGCGGCGAGAGTAAAGAAAGAGTTCTAGGAAGGAGTTTCATGAGAAGCTTAGAAGGAGACATTATGCAGGAGAAGGGTTAAAGAGTGAAGGTCAGTATCTTCGAATTCTGGAAGGTTGGACATTTTCAAGTGGTAGCTTTAGCTGTGAGGTTGTTGAGAATTTTCAGAGTTTTCATGAAGGCGTCTTTGTGAACGAGTTGAAGTGTACAATGGAGCAGTGCAAGAGGATTGTGAGAGGTACAGAGAGCAAACATGGGCGGGAAGTGTTGAGATGCTCAGGAAGGACCATGCTGGCTGCTGGCAGGCTTAATGAGAGCTGAGTGCTTTGCTCACAAAACGAGCACTCATAAGCGTCGTAAACCACACGTCGTGAACCTCTGCTTAGTTCCCTTTCGTTTCTCCGTTCACGTCTTTGAGCGTTTACTGGCGAAGCATGTTATGCTGGAAACTCGTGAAAAATTTCTCATTGGCACTTGTTGCAGAAAATTTACTTTCCAGATGGTGGCGTGTAAACTTGGACGATTTTATGTAAATGAAAAGCAGATGTTGGATGTGAACTATGTGCTGAAGAATGGCGACTCTATACATCATTGGGGTCATCGTCATGAACATCCAGTTCGTTTTTTTTTCTCACTCTTGCTCATTATTTACGTTTTAGTGTTGACCTTCATAGGGAAACAGAGACTTTTATGGAGATATGCACTACTTTATGGGCGGAAGTGGTGTAGTGGCAAGTGGCACGCTTACCACGCGAGCGGTCCGGGGATCAAATCCTGGGTCGTGAGTCGCCCGGGCCAACCAAGCCTTCCATCCCTCCGGGACCAGACTTGTCTGGGAGGATAAAAACACTGACTTGTACATCGGCTGGCCCCCGCAAGTCATTGTATAGGCCACATCGCATTCAAACGCCACTACGAATGTGGAAGTAGAATGCGTGCCGCATCCCAAAAGGGATTGATCAACGGCAAATGCTTTATCCTTTTTATCCTTTACTTTAATGTATAATGTATGAAACTCCTAAAAACAGCTATCAAAGAGGTGGACCGCATCGTCATAACCATCATCATTGAGGGTTTCGTAGTCATAAGAGGATTGAGTGTGGCCATCTGCCTGTCTGGGAAACTGCGTGATGCTTTCGAACTTTATGTGCGTGCACATTAAAATTAACACACGATCGACAAAACAACAAATTAAGATGATAGATGCTGTTTTCAAATTTGGTGATCCAAGAGGAATCACTTGTGAGCAGTGTGGAAAGTGGGCGATCATCGCGAGACCTTTTTTCATTGAGACCTTATTTTACGATAAGAACGTGATGGACGGGAAAAATTGTGGTTGCTTTAGCAAATAACTACTTGATTAGTACTCTCCTCTATTACTCGACAGTTCTTTTTCTTGTAGTATGGCAACAAAGATCAATTCCGACGTGCATATCAAGTTCAAGTAGAGCACACTACCTTGAACTCATAAGACAACACGAACAGAAAGCAAGCAAGCTGCCAAATAACATAAAATCGAATGTATTAAGTATGTTGTACCCTCGCATTTCAAGTCCTTATCGACTTTAATTGCTGGCTAGATTTTAGAAGAAAGGAAGTTGTTATGCAGTTGAAGCGCATAGAGGGGCCGACGAAGAAATTCTGCAAAAAGCTCTGCGGCCTTGGGGAAAGCGGATTTCAAGTGAATGAAGGAGTGTGAATTGAAGGGAAGGGATCTTCAGAAAAGCTTCCAGTGCTCCGTCAAAAAAGTGTAAAGTCGCGTCAAACAAGTTCAAAAAGGATCGAGTACTAATGAAATTCAAGCTCGGCTTTGCAACATCCTCATAACAAACAGCGCTTCCATAAGGTTAAATTTTCCTCATTTATTTTAGAACTATGCATTTCGGTGAGGCTTCATTCCGGAAGCGGGATTGCCAAGAGTCAACAGAAATTGGCTGTTTTGGTCCTAGCTCGGACCCCTATAGACTAGGGAAATAACCCAATTGCCAATAGCATGATGAAACTTACTTATAGATGGCAATCGCCGAACTTTCTGCCTGAAAAATCTAACACTTGAGCTTTCTTGCTCTAAGATTTTGAATATTGTTGCATAGGGCACTAATGTAAACAAGGTATCTTCGTCGTGTTCGAGCTTCAGTACGGTGAAAATGTAGTTTGAGGGGGCCACTCATAATGTCTAATCAAAGTGACATCTAATCAACATTCAGAGCACAGGCTCTGAGCGTATGATTAGATAGGGCTACCAACCCGAGATTCCGTACGAATCGGATACCTGAGCGGCCCTTTCTTCGAGGGCTTGCACGGCAATCGGAAGAAGTTTTGGTGAAAGTGAAGAATAGCAAGTAGCAGCGACAAGGGTAATAAGTGATCATTGTAACAAGTGATCATAGGCCACGATCTCAGTGAAAGATATGATAAGATATGAGTGCCTTCCCGCAACTCTACTTTGATTAGATATGTCTTTCCGCAGCTCCACTTCGATTAGATAGGGTGCCCCCCCCTGAACTACATTTTCACCACTAGTACTACTCATAGAAACATGAAAGCTTGGGGAGAGCTCTAAGGGTTCGCAGAGGGCTATTCTCCAGAATATGAGCCTAGGGCAACGGTGCTTAACTTTCTGATGTTTGCTACCCTTCATTTTTAGGGTCCGTTGCAAAAGAAGAAATGATATTTCAAGGGAAGGCAGCTCCCAGCCATGATGTGGGCAGAATTTGCGAAAACATTTCTGGAAAACGAAAAGGATGTGAGGATTCCCACAAGAGCGCGCCCTAATAATGATGAACTCTCCTTTTTGGAGAAATTTTTGATTCTATATTTTTCAATAATAATACTTCGCTGTGAACCTGTGAGACTCCTTAGCGTTCTCTGACACTCAAAGGAAAACCCACGGAACTGGCGCGTGCCCTAGCCTCGAGTTTTCTAAACGTTGAAGCTTGCCAATGTGTTCTATTCCCTTGCATAGAACTTCACATCCCTTGGTTTCCTTCATTCCTCAAATTGGTCCTACCACTCCACCCATGGAAATAGAAAGGCAACAGTGTTGCACAGTTCCATACAGAATGTTGTGAATAAATCCAGTGTTTTCTTGTAGGCAAAAACACTTATCGATGTCAAGTTTTATTTTTCAAGGACGATTGAAAGAACTTATTCAAATTAATATTTTGAAGGCAGTGGCAGATTAACTCACCGATAATCATCGCCTTGGGCTCGACGTTCTGCGGTTACACATGAAGTTCATAATTATATTTAGTTCATTGTTATAGTATAGTTCACACATGAAGAGTCGCGGCTCTAGGTCCCGGCGGGACTCCTGCCGATCACCTTAGGTGTTTGAGATGAGGAGATAGACATAAGAGCAACTGACTATTAAAGCGGGGAGGGTCGTGATGGCCCTTTCGATAACAACATCTAGAGTTGCCTTTCGATTACGGGTGGTCATGGGGAGCCAAGGCGGGGGAGCACGCAGGTGGCATGTTCGGGGTTCTTTCACATTCTCACTAGTGGAAACATCTTATAAAAGCAGTTTTTCGAGTGCACTAATCAAAAATTCCACGATGATCAGAAATTTCATAAGGAACCTGGGGATATAGTAAATAAATATGCTAACAGACGAATTATGCGATCAATTTAAATTCCATTAACTGCCGTGGTTCTTCCAAGAATTATTATAACTGCTCTCATGTTGCTTTATTTCGGTGCTCGACTTACCGATTACTGTCATCGCGGACACGGACGATTTACTGGTTATCAATAAACCCCCATCGTTGCCGGTACACGCATGCGGACAATATGCTATTCACACGGTATTAGGGCAGCTCCGATACAACCATGACCGACACGGGCTTAGAGGTAAGCCTTATTTCACCCATTCCCACCGTATTGTTTTGCAAATGCATCGCTAATACGTTGTTTAGTGTTGCATCGGTTGGACCGGGCCACTTCTGGTGTGCTGATGTTTGCAAAGAATTATGAGACTGACAGTGAGGTACTGAAGTGTTATTGTCTCGGTATGCTTTAAAATATCGAAAAAAAGCAACTTCTCTCGATTGCAGTTCAAGAAGACGTTGAAGGAGGGCGACTGGTCAAAGGAGTACGTCTGCATGGTGGAGGGCGAATTTCCTGAGTGAGTTTTGTAGATTTCACAGCGGCCAGGTAGTGTAACAGTGAGGTATTATTAGCGGTCTTCGATCTTGGAAAAGTGGGATGATTTTGGAAAAGAATTTTATACCTGTCGATTGCGAGAATCAAAGGAGAACTGCGAAAGAAACGTGGGGTTGAGTCCCGGAACGATTCTGGCGATCCAGACGTCCGAAACGCACTGTTACGATATAGAGAACAAAATGTAAACTTGCGGAGGAAGGGTCTTCTCTTCCTACAATTGCGACCTCTGTACGGAGCGATTCTCACATTACAAATACTGTGCTGGTTGCATAGAGTTTTCATGCAGCACCCGGGACTCCGGTCACGAGTCGAGGTCACAGACCATATCTGCGCTCCTCTTATTCATGTTCTCGTCACCAATTCTTTTCGCTTTTTCCGCGGCGTTGAGTATCTTTTTTGCTGTCTGCCTCTCGACACCCTCTACTACCCGGCGAAGAAAAGCTCCCTATTTCGGTTTTTGATGGTTTCTTTTTCTTTTTTTTCATTATCTGTCCATTTCGCACCTCTTCCTTCATTTTCGGCAAAGTAATCATAGCAACTTGGTCCTCGAGATATGACTTTGATTAGCTCTTTTTATCGAAGCCACCACCGCGATATTGTATGATATGTAACTTTCCTAGGTTCCAAAAACCAAACGCGCATCATATGTAAGCCACCCACCACAGGTGACGCGGCCTCAAAGTAAATGTGGTTACTAGTGGTTCATGGTGATAGTTGATAAGTGGTAAATGATAACTGTAATTCCTGGCAACTAATAGAATACAACTGCAGCCGGCTAATCAGGCTAATTGGCAGAAAGTTTGGCACTATTTACTCTTTACTGCCCCGATCCTTGAGAGCTGAGCCGGGTTTTGTTCGACTTTGTCCATGACTGCGATTCGCAAACTTAGCCTCAGGGGTAGTTCGACCCGTAGAACACAAATATCACATTCGTTCGCCGCTAGAGCGCCTGACGCTCGCGCCAGAAGCGCCGGCGCCAAGAGGCGCCAGAATTCGCGGATCCACGAAATTCGCTGGTAACTTTTCTTCAGAGGTACTTCGACCCGTAGAATATGAATATCACATTAGCTCGTTGCAAGTGAGCCTGAAGCCTGCGCTGCGGGCACCCGCGGAAAACTGTTGTGATAACGCCGGCGCCTGTGGCGCGGGCGCCAAGCGTTGTCGCGCTTAACCGATGTGATATTCGTGTTCTACGGGTTGAAATACCCGGGAGCAACTTCTAGCCAAATCCTCGTCATGTTACGAATTCGATCATAAATCTAGGCCTCAATTCGATTGAGAGTGCGCAGTAAACGGGTTATAGCGGTCCGAAATCTTTTAGTTTTGTGAAGGCCATCGTTCACCCAGCTCGACGTGCATCTGGGTTCGGAAGCAGAAGATGCTTATGTTCATTTGTGAAGTCGTATCCAGATATTAAGCAAAGCCTTTATGAATATTACATACCCTATTCAGTGAAGAGATTGAGTGCAATGAGCCAATCGATGTGCTGGTCATCAGTATGGGCATTCAATGCGTTCGACCTGACGGCAAGGTAGCTCACAGTCGCTTCAAAAAGCTGTGGTCTGACGGAAAGCATTCCGTACTTTCCGTTAGTATAACAACTGGTCGCCCCCACCAATTCGTGTACATGCCCAATTTTTGGGTGAGTTTTATTCAGTATTTTTGGGATGGGTTTTGGGTGATATCCCATCATTTGATACTTTTAGAACAACCTCTTTATAGGTTATCCGATCGTGGGTGACCGAATTTACAACTCCACTGTGTGGGGCGATTCTAAAGGAAAGGGCGCAAAATATGGGAAATCCTACGATGAGGTTAGCACGTAACTTAGCGTCGTACTTTAATCACCTATTCTAACCTCCTCAATGCTTTCATTAGCTTGCTTCAGTTATGTGCTGATGTACATGCCGCCCACCGCTCCTCCAACTGGCACGAAACCGTTGCTCCGGATTACGAATCGAAAATGGAACGCATGGCTAGCGAGGAGGTGAATAAGTTTAGATTGGTCCAAACTTTTACCACGAGCTTAGATGAAATAGGCTTCCGTATCACAACATTTCAGCTGTAAATCACTTGTTCATGGCTTTACAAACAGCACATTGAGTTTCTCCTTTCGACAACTTAAAAGGGAATTAGTACGCATAGAAGGCAGTAGGGAAGATTTAATAACTGGGTACATTCAAAGGAAACAGTGGTCTTCTAGATCTTCTCCAGGTGCCTGGCTGCACCTATTCTTGCCTTATTTTTTCGTTTTTCATTCATTAATCAGTAGAGATGTCATTTTGTTGTTTCGAAACTTATTCCACGTATTCGAGCCGAGGCGATCGCGCTTGCAAAATCGCAATCCCATGTTTCAGCATTTTTCCCTTATTCACGGGAACTTAATAAATCCGTTCATCTCGGCAAAATACTCATAATATTAGGTTGTTCGGAAAGTAATGCAGGTTTTTGACCTCTATTTTCAAAGAGGCATATTCCACTCAAATTCAACATTTTTAGTCGTAACAAAAACTATTGGAAAGCACTAATTTTTCTTAACAAGATGCATACTCAAATGTCCTTCCACATAAAATCAGCGCTTCTGGAGGCGATGATATCGTCGAGCGTCATTTTCACATCAGTTTGAACATTGAAGCATTTCTTACTCAAGAAGTTGTCGAGATGGTTGGAAAAGGGGTATTGGTGAGGGAGAGGTCCAATGAGTAGACGTGTGGATCGAAGCTTCGTACGCCAGTTTGTTCAATACTTGCGAGGTCGTTTATGGGACGTGTGGCTGAGCGCCACCATGAAGGAGGCTTTGTTTACTTCTCTCGGTTGACGAACTGATGTTTCTAGAGCATCTCATCGGTATGCTGGAGAGACATTGGTGTTGTGTTAACTTCACCTGGTTTCCAAGAGCTGGTTGTATCAGTCCCGTGGAAGACCGCTGAATGTTCAGCTCAACCCAAATCTTCTACAATTTCATCTTAGAGTAGTTTTTAGAGATTCATTGAGGTGTAACTCTTAGAGAGATGGCTTCTTGCCATCGTGAAGAGGTTCTATTTCAGTCAGTAAGTGGTAATGCAAATCCGAATACTAGTATTTTTTTGGCTATGGTGAAAATGTGGGGGAACGATTCTCGTGGTTTGTTGCGTTTCGTCAGCAATGCGGTAGCAAGCTGTTCAGCTTTTCAGCTCCCAGTTTATCTTAGAACCACTTATATTTTTCAACAATATAGTCTACTTTTGTCTAGTCTTGCGATATGCTCAGTTTTGGTCCGGAATTGTTTATTGCGGAACTCTTTTAGAAGGCATCGTCACAGCCAGAGCGCGCTCATGACTCCTTATCTTTACTAAGGGTTTCTTCGGTACCAGATTTTGGAGTCAAGGCTGTGCTGCCGCTTTTTTATTGTTTGCTCGGTTTGGCCGCCATCTTCAGTTGTTATTTCGGACAGGTTTAGAGCAAAGTCAAGATTTTAGCACATCGAAGAAAAATTTGAAAAATCCGCTTTCTGACCCAACTGTCCAGTTTATAAAAAACCCTTAAAATAAAACAGTTCGAACTGAATTCAACTAAATGGAAGGGAAAGAAGATTAGAAATAAGACTTACAACGGGTGATTTTGGTTTTTATTTAAAAACGGGCTTTTAGTGCAGATCTCTCGAAAGAATGGTGTAAGATGTAAAAAATAGTCAAGTTTATGCATGCATCCGAAACCCGCATTAGTTGTTCGAACATATAATAATAGACGAACTTTTACATTTTTAAACAAGCGTGACCGTGGGTTTGCCAATTGTCATGCGTGAAGTGTCTCAGCATTATTCGTCTAATATATGCTGTCAAAAATTACTTTTACTAACTCGAAACTAGACTATAACAAGAATTAAAAAATTACTGTTCCCAGTCATTGTCTCCGAGCCTGAAGTTGAGTGACTGCAGTGGGTGGGGGGCGATTGCCTGTTCTGGATGACGTCAACGACGTATTGGTGAAATGAACATTCGCACGCTGAGGGATTTGGCTGGAACCCTTATTTCGCCTCCTACAATGACAGTTCATGGAATTGAATCCAGAGGTTGCTCAGCTGCCCTGGTAAAAATTCATCAAGTGATTGGATCAGCGCTTTGATTTGTTGTGCCTAATTCATAATGTAGTTACTCGGCACACAGCGCTTTTAGAATGGGAATAAGTCACCCTCTACCTATCCTGAAGGGGATGGTTGGAAACAGGGTCAACCGCGAGGTACTTATTTTCCTAAAGTTTTACGACCCCAGCTCGCTGGTACACCTCACAAGGACGGCCTGTCCTTGATTGCTTCATAGGTGAATCTGGTTTTGGTTCTCATCGGTCGGAATGATTTCTCATTCTACATCTCCATATATTATCTTTCGGGTTTAACTTATTCTTGAAGTGATGTTCCTGACGACTGCGTACGATTGCTCACTTGCTGGTTTAGGCGATCATTACACGTTTCCAATCAATGATTTGATCAGCTACATAATCTCTCGTAATCTTCTTTAGCCCGCACTCCAGTCCTCTTTGTTTAAGAATCGATTTGAAAAAGTGAAACGGAGCACAGGCTAAAGAGGATTACAAGCCATGTAGTTGATCAACATATTGGTGACAGCGCCATGCGCATGAGTTTCACATTCTCACACGAAGGGCCTCGTTTCACCGAATTCATTTGGCATTTTTCTGTTCTGAATTCACATTTGCCCATGTGCTCATGGGGTCGCAAAATAGCGCACCAATCAGAAGTAACGGAATTCTCGGAGGGTAATTATTATTCTGCCAAAGTATGAAAAGGATGACGTGATGCGCTCACAACGAACTGTTGTCGATTGTTTGAAAAATGGTACGATAAATTGGTCGCCCACTGGGAATGACAGTAGAGCTACATACAAGGAAAGGCTCTCAGGTCGCCATGGCCATTCAAGAAGAGATGTATACCGCTAGATGTGCCTTTGAACGCTGATCTCAAATCTACCTTCCAAATCTGCTAAACGATTCTCTGAAGGGAGTTATGAAGCAAAACAGCGCAACGGCAGTGGTCGGGATTTGCAGTCAAAACGTCGTAGGATCGGCCCCTGATCGCGTTACTGTCTTGCGTTCTTCAGGAATCAGGCTAAATAGGCTATTGAAAGCCTTTTAGCTGTACGGTATACATCTCTTCTTCCTTCCTGAATGGCCATGGCGACCTGAGAGCCTATCCTTGTTAGATGTACAGTAGCGGAGAAGAAAAATCAAGAGAAACGGCCTGACGAGTTGCCCCGCGGATTTCTGCGTTGGACAAGTCGCATCGGTGTTGAAGCCATCAACGTGAAAGCTCTGCCTCTCTGCTAAAATCACGAGTTGACGGCGGGGGCCAGCAGCTGAGGTAGCGGCAAAATCGGTGGGCGTGCACAGGTGCGAATAGAATTCAACGGCGCGGGCAAGGTCCCTTTGAGACACTACGGGCGCACCCTTCGCAGCAGAATGCGCCTCATCGTGGATCTGTTTTCCTTTCTTCCACCTCCGCTTCACTGTAACACCTACCTTCAAATTATCGATTGGATGTGAAAAGCTCATTCACTTGGCTACAGTAACATACATGGTTAATTACTCCTTTCATCTTTCGACTATTTACATAGTTCAATGTCAGCTTAGTTGGTAAAACTGGTGGTCCTC